TTCGTGTAGTGGTCCCCACCAATAAATGACATCGAACAACAGAACGCCGGTGCGTTCTGTTGTTCGACGCCGGGCGACGCGCGCACGGGGACGTCATCGTCAACAGCGTCTACGGTCGTCCCACAGCTAAGAACGCACCTCCTCGTGCTAGTGTAGCACAGGAAGGTGCGTTCTGACCCAAAGACGCCTACCTGGCGACTTCGGGTCCGTCGCAGACGCCGGGTGTAGCAAGGGGGGGATGGGCCGTGTAGAAACGGCCATAACTCGACGACGAGGCGTCGCACACTCCAGGCGTGTGTCTCGTCGTCGTCCTGACTCCCAGAGGAGTCAGGAAACGGCCTCCTATCCAAGGATAGGCGACCAGGGAAGCAGCGAGGGAGGGGAGGGGGAGAAGGTGTGAAAAACAGAAAAAACGAAATTCAACAACAACGGCGCCGCCGATTTGCGCGGCGCCGGTGTCGTTAGATTCCTATACTCACGACGAGTCGGGGGCGACATCGAAGCCGAGAATGCGACGGCGTTCTGGGTTCCGATGTCGGGGGGACCGCGAGGGGAACGGGGTGCGCGTGGCGATGTTGGGGCGATTGTACGCGTCTGGGCTGCTTCCACATCGAAGGTACAACCTATTAGAAGGTTGTAAACCTGTAAAACAAAGGTTTGGGCCCAGCACGACCCGCTCACGATGAGCCGTGAGGCGGGCATGCCAGTCCCTCCTATCAAACAACAAAACATCGAATGTGAGTTGATTTGCTTACTGTTTCCCCTTAGTCTCTGTTCCACCCCACCTGGTATGTCCATTCCAGGCCTGAGGAATCGGCGGCGGCGATGTCGAGAGCATCAAGAGCCGGCAGGAGCATGACGCGGGACTTAGCGTCTCACGCGCGTCGGCTCGTGTTCGAGGCTGCCTCGCTCGCGCTCTAGAGCATACAATACCATCAGTAAAACATGTACTCGGGGGTCTTCGTACCTGCAGATTATGATTATGAGGGTACCGAAGCGCGACAATGTGTGCGTTGATGTCTGCGCGCGACTTTGCACAACCGCCACCGCCGCCATCGCCGCCGGTGCACTCGGTGGCTGTCTTACCGCTCTAGGCAATCATCGTTAATGTTCAAGCAGATGGGGTTAAAGCAAAGACAGGAACCCGTTCCCAGCTCTGGAGTCACAGAAATAAGTCCTGGCAGCTTCGTAGCATATTAAAATGGTGGCAATGTATACTGCACTTCTGTAGATGGTGCTTGAACTGGACATCAGCAGGTTGTGCTGGCCTCTCTGGTGCCTATGAAAAATAACTCTACACACTTGAATGCGGGTGTAGAATCATCCCTGGCACCAGCAGACTGAGTACTGGGCAAGTGTCCGGTCATCTGATCCCTTCTGATATTTATTTCAGAATAATAGTAATTCTGTAGAAACTCAACCGCAGCATGCGAAAGGTGCGGTGGCTGATCAACATTCACTTCAGAGCTGCCCTTGGGTGTTTCCAAGAGGTGCAGAGTCTGTCAGTGAATTTCAAGCCTGCGTGACCCACTGAGTCCCAGGCCAAGCATGCTGGAGCGTGAGTGATGGGGCTTGGTGGGTTTGGTGCCTACTGACCGAGATAGACTCAGGGAGCTTCAGACGGGGGGATGCATGCAACGGGGGAGAGATTTGACCCCTTTCAGCCCCCACCGTCGGTGTCCGTGCCAGCAAGGGAGATCGGTGGAGGCTGAATGGGAGGGTCTGGCGGCTGCGGTGCCTAAGCAAAGAGGCTCACAAGGGTGGAAATAGGGTGCTGCAACAAAGAGCAGAGAGAGGGGAGCGATTCCAGCCCCTGCCGTCGCGGGTTGCAGGCCGTCCGCACACAAGCGCCCGCAGGCGGCCGCAGGGGGGGAGGGGGGTCCCGGTGGGTGTTTCAATGTTGACTGGGAGGTGCGTAAACCCCCTGCCAGATAGTCAGAAGGGCCGAAAAGGAAGTATTTCCCGCGATGGACGGTAGGGGGGCCTACCGTCCATTCCATATGGGTAGGTCTCTAGGCAGAACACGGCATGAGACTGCATGAGATGGCATGAGGAAATGATAGGATTTTTCTGAGTGGCATGAGATGGCATGGCATGGCATGGCATGGCATGGCATGGCATGAACCTTTTTGGGACAGGCATGACACAGCCGCATCCCAATTGGGGCTGGCATGACTACCATATAAGGAAATTTCACAGCATGGCATGCTGCAGCGAAGGGTTCGCTGCAGATAGTATAATATTAGGGGACGAAGGGGAAGGGCCGAGTCATCCCAAGTCATCAGAGCACTCTAGAGTTGGAGGTATCTCTTCAGGACCACCGTTGCCAAGGATGCCCTCTTCCATGAAGCCCCCCCATGAGGGCCGATACCTGGGGCAGGGTATAGGACACAGTGTATGGCATCGCACATACCCAGGTGCATCCTCCGCATAGGTCACCCTGTGGAGCAACACACAAGCAAGGAAAACCTCTGCAACCCTACAAACTGCCATACTAGCGCAGGTCATAGGTCACTTGGTTAAATATACCAGTTACAAAGAGTCCTATGTCAAACTACACAAGCTGAACACTGATGCAACTAAAACTCTAACCCATGTGAGCCTTGTCAGATTCTGCCTCTGAGCTTGATGTAGAGAGTTCCACTATAGAGGAGATGAAATGTAAGGCCATGCAGGAGAGCAGGGTTGAACATTACTTACCATCAGAAGGCAATGCTCTGGCACGCTTCTTCAGGCCATTCCTCATGGACCCTGGCCAAGCCTTTTTGATGCTTGAGATATGGCGGTGCTTTCGCTCTTACATATGTTATTTAGTCAGGAGTGGTTTCCAGGGAAATATAGAATAAGTCACTTACTGGACATCCAAGGAAGCGGTACTTCCAGTTCTGTCAGGGTGTTAGGCCCCTCTGGACTGCTTGGCATCTCCTTGCTGAACTCTTCTTCAATCCGCTCAAACTGCTCTTCTATGGTCAACCCCTCCATTTCCTCTAGATCCTCCAGTTGCTGATTGGGGTCAGGGGACGTCCTCCTAGGATGCTTCCCTCGAGCCTTCTCAGAGGGAGATTCATCTAATTGAATGTTCATCATTGGAAAGGGGCAGTCAGTGTGATGTTGCATACCTGGAGAAACTGAGCGAGAAGGGTGTGTGTGTGGCTGGTTGCCTTGACCTTGAACTTGAACTTGTGGTATGATGAGATGCGAGAGGGTTGCATCTACTGCCGTGACACCAGACACAGAGATCATGTCATGCTTATCACAATGGCTGCTGCAATTCCTCCCTTCATTACCAATACCACTGAGTAATGTACAACCCATCAGGATTGCTATCCGGCAGGATAACCTCGACATACCTAGCCAATGACGGAAAGGCCACCCATGACGAATCATCCACAAGTCGCATATCAGCAGCGTATGATCTGTTATCCATGTCCAATGGCAGCGAGGCGGCTCACTTGTGAGTCTGTGCCAGACGATGTAGTCGTCGTTAATGTTGGGAAGGAGCGACGAACGCGCATGCCTGCACCACGGCAACGCGCGTCGCACGGCCGTATATTTCATACCCACAACACCTAGATCGTAAGCAGCACCTAGCGACAATACAATTACTTGGGAACACATGTCTGTAGTTGTATTCTCATTGGTACAGACATAAACCCTGTACAATAACCTAGTACGACAAGACAATCATCGTCTGCATCTCCCGACAGCCCGCTGCGCTTTCACAGCTCGCATCGCTGCCGGGACCGAGATGAGTGTTTATAGCGCGTACGGAGAATCACCGGCGTAGGCTTGCCGTAAGATGAGGCGACGGTGTCCGACGCCGGTGTTTCGCCCTGCTCTCTCCGACCTCCCCATCGTCGCGCTTGTCGTCCCCCTGCTTTTCTCGATCTCGGATTCAGAGGATTTCTTAGAAAGTAACGCGAGAGGGCTGCTAAGCACGAGGCTTCAGGTTAATTAAATGCACGTGCGAGAGGGCATGGAACGCTGAAAGCAGACGCGAAGGTACGCCAGTTCCCCCTTCTATCGCCGGTAAATCGTTCCATCTCTGAATAATGAACGAATGAATGAAGATTCGGTAAAGAAAGCATGTCGACTATTGCACCGGAAGAACAGACGACACGAGGCAGCAGCGAAGAGGCTCCCTCCGACGTAGCCACGCACCCCGCTCCTTCTCTCCCGCCACGCTCTCCTCTCCGACCAGCTCCCCGTCCACGTACCGACTCGCTGGCACCGTCTCGAGCGTCAGCGGCGGATAGTCTACCCGACATTCTCAACTCTGACGCGATACTGATGCATCTAACCCGGCATCGCAGCCTGGGCTCCCTTTCAGGCCTCTTGGACTCGCTCACGCACTCGGACACGTCTACGCTCTCGGTGGAGAATGCGGACATGGAGGCCTTCAAGGATGCCCCGGGCAAGCCGCTACCGCCAGAGCCCTTATCGCCGCTATCCCTGTCCCCCATCGATACCCTAGAGTCGACTTCCACGGATTCCAGTTCGTTGCTACCGCCAACTATTACCGCCCAGACTACTGCTTCTGTCTCGAAACGCACTCATGCACTATTGGAGCTGCTATCTTCCGAAAGGGCTTACGCGTCCGACTTGGCGCTGATACGAGCGGTGCACATACCGCTGGCGTTAGGTGAGTACGCGTTTTCCCAGTTACTACTCCGACAAACTAAGTGTCCGCAGGTCAATCCGCCGAGCTCCATACTCCCGTCACCGAACAGACTGCCTCCTCGTCAAGCTCGTCTCGAAGCTTCTCCATGTCCTCGACAACGTCCAACACTTCAGTGTCCGTGCCGCCCAACTCGAAGCCGCCAATGACTCGTGACGACGTCAAGACGATCTTTGGCAACATTGTCGAGTTGGCCGAATTCTCCGATGCCTTCTGCGAGAGGCTCGAGGTGGCACTGGGAGAGGTGCTCGAAGGCGGCGAAGGAGAGGATCGTGTCGGGAAGCTATTCCTTGATATCGTAAGTTGCTCCGTTCCTGAGTCACCGCTAATATTGAGCGGACTGTATGTAGATACCGTTGCTCGAGCCGCCTTACAAGACGTACATCACTCGTCACCCGTCTTCGCTCTCGCACTATACCGCCCTCACCACACCATCTCCCACCCCCGCGCTCCAAGCCTACCTAAAAACCATCCAGACCCTCACCTCCAGCCTCACGCACGCGTGGGACATCCCCTCCCTCCTCATCAAGCCCGTCCAGCGCCTCCTCAAGTACCCGCTCCTCCTGCAGTCGATATACGAAGAGACGCCCGAGGGCCATGGCGACAAGGAGAACCTCAAGAAGGCGAAGGAGAAGATGGAGGAGGTCGCGCGCGGCGTGAACGAGGGCCGCCGGCGGTGGGAGGTCGTGCGCGAGGTCCTGAACGCCGGGAAGAAGGAGGGGCTAGGCGAGGCGAATGGGAAGCGCGAGAAGAAGCGGAGCGGCAGTGTACCGATCGGCGTCGCTGCGAGCGTCAAGCTGGGCCGGATGAAGAGTCTCACGCGCAAAGTCTCGTACGGAAAGGGCTCCATCCAAACCGCCGCGTCTGTGAACGCGAACGATACGGCGCACGAGGAAGCCGAGGCGGTCGCGGCGTACGAGAGCGACTTGCAGGCGCTGGACGAGTTCATCGAAGACTTTGCAAAGGCCGCGAAGCAGTGGGCGACGTCGACGAAAGAGTACCACACCCAGCTGCTCTCGTGGTCGCTCAGCTTCGGGCGCGTCATCGGCGTCATTGGCGAGAACGGTGAAGGAGGGCGGAGCGAGGCGTTCGACGCGTTTCTCGGTGTACCCCGGAAGCACATCGTGCCCCTGTGCGAGCAGCTCGAGCACGCCATCGAGACAAAGCTATTCGCCGACCTCGCGAGGCTCAAGGAGACCATGAAGGCGCCAAAGCGACTCCTCGAGGCGATGCATACCTTAGAACCTCTACATCACACCCTCTTGCATCACACCTTCGGGTCATCGGGTTCGCGACCGCCGCCAGCGCTGCTCGAGGCGAGCCAGTCTTACATCGCGCTTCGCGGCCAACTCGCCGCCGAGCTGCCGACCTATCTCGAGCTGATGGAGAAAGGCACGCGGGGCTGCGTCGGGATCTTCGTCGCCTGGCAGGAGCGCTTCTGGGAAGACGTCAAAAATAGCTGGGCGGAGCTCTGGGATGCGCTCAAGGAAGAAGGCGAAGAGTTGAACGAAGGCGCACAAGGCGGCGCCGAGATCACGATGGCGAACTGGTGGGACCGGTGGCACCTCATCGACGAGGCCCTCGAGCGGCTCACGATCACGAAGCGCCTCCCGCGTAGTGCAAGGGACAGCGTCGGTAGCAAGGAGAAGGAAAAGAGCAGCAAGTCGACTGTCAAGGACAAACTCTCTGCCTTGCAGCCTACGCATGCGCCGTCATCGAGCGTGCCGTCTACCCCCACAACTCCAACGTCCCTGCTGGACTACTCCGAGGCTGAGGCAAGACAACGAGATCCTGCCGCGGAGAGCTTGGAGAGATCGTATCTCTACGCGTATACTATGGGCCTGAGCACGGCGGTGCCCCAGAAATCACCGACGTCTGGGTCTTTCGGTACTCCGCCAAGGAAGTCTAAGGCGTCCAGCGGACCGAGAGAGAGCTCCGACAGCGGCTTAGGGAGGAGCCTCGGAAAACGTCCGAGCACCGAGAGTCTCAAGTCCGGCAAATCCGCCAAGAGTGCCGTCTCGGGATCTGGAAAATCGAGGAGATCGGACGCGTCCACTGGACCCCTTCCTACTTTCGTAGATGAAATCGGCGAAATTGTTTCCTCGCTAGGCCCCGGTTTCGGTTCCAGAAGCAAGAAAGTCCCCATCCCCAAGAAGAACAATCAGACTGATCATACGGATACAGGACTTCCGCCTGGGTACGAGGCCGAAGAGCTCGATCTCTCTAATTCACGCCTGGGTCGGGCTTCGCGGCGTCCCAGCTTCCGACGCAAATGGTCTGATACCGTCAAGCCGCCCTCCTCGTCTCGCCGGTCGCCTTCTCCTTCTGCTTCGCTGTCTCAGACGCCGCCGATGCCTGCACCGATGGCCTCTAGGAGTGCGTCCTTCCCCATGGTCAAGGAACGAGATCTGACGCCTAGTCGTAACCCTTCACCATCGAAAAAGACGAACGCCCGGACTCCTCAAGGACCGCAAAAGATAACCTCGCACGCAAAGGCCTTGTACGCGTGTCAGGTCGTACATCGTTGCGAGCCCCCTCCGAACGTTTCGTACCATTCTCTGCCCTTTTTCACTCTTCGCCCTGGGATCACTCTCGATGTTCTGCATGAATCTGGGCACCCCTCGAATCACCCTGACTTACCATTATACGTCGATGATGGAGAAGACTGCCTGTTGCTTGTTAGAGACCGAGAAACGCACCAGCTTGGTTGGGCCTTGGCGAGTTTTTTGACTCCCGTGAGGTAGATGCTCGCTCATATCATCTTGTCGGACGGATGGACATTTTGACGTCGAACATATATTTATCTACTTCGTTCTTGAATACTTTTGCTTTCTTGTTTCAGGGACTAATGGTTTGTTTCGTCTTTCACCCATGTATAGATCATACCATTGTAATTGTACGTGAAGTGCTTGTATCATCGTGGTTGTGGATCATAATTCGACTACCCCGTATTCTACGTAGGGTGGCCGCTGCTACGTGAGGCCAGAATATGACAGCGATCATAGACCTGACCTACGGTTGGATACATAGCGATCGCAAAGTTCGTCCCTCTCGAAGAGTTCTTTGATGAAAGTAATCTGTCGGAATGAGCTCGCAATGGCCACTCGACGATTGGCAGTGTCAACATATCTGCCGAAGAGGCAGAACAGGGAGCTAAGACTTCTCTAAGACAACCGGTCCCACGTCCAACCCTCCGAGGCCCACTCCGGCATCTCCGTCTCGAACGTCCCCAGACTGGTCGTATACCTCAGAGCGTGCAAGAAGATATACAGCTTTTCGGGCTTGGGATCCGGATGCAGAGGAAGGTAGCACTCGGGACAGAATCGCACGTGTTCCGCCTTTTCGCTGTACGTCTCCGGCTGGGATGCGTCCTTCGAATGGATATCCTGCGGTTCGGGGTCGATCACTGTTAGCTTGGCGATGGCCTCGTCCGGGGTCATCTGTTTGCTCGCGCCGGCATCCTCCTCGACTACGACCGTGGCGGCCGCCCCAACGTCAAGCTGCGCCTCTACCTCGATCTCCTTATCCTTCGACCGACTGCGGCTTCTACGCTTCTGGGCCCACCCGGGACCTCCACGTTCTCGCCTGTGCGGAGGCGGCAGCGGCCTCTGCATGATATTCTGCGGCGCGAGCCGACCCTTTGCGAGGAAGACAACGTCGCGCCAGCGGCTCCAGTCTTCGTCTTCGTCCTACAAGCAGCTCATGTAAAGGCAAGCCCGTGCAGAAAATAACGAAAGAAGTCGAAGAAGTCGTACCTTCATATTCCGCAATCGGGTGATAATTCTGACAGCTTCCGCAGAAAGCGGAACAGGAGAGCCCATCCCGATGTCATGTCCAGTCTCGCGCGGGAGCAACTTCCGGCTCTGCGTGCTACTAGCCGCTCCTTGCTCGCCGTAACCGACGGCACTATCTGGGACACTTCCGACCGGCGTGGAACTTTTAGTACTTGTTGGGTGCCCCTGAGACGGTGCGTGCGGCGAAGGCGCGGGTGAGGTGCCGAACGTGAACGTCGACGATTCCGGGTTTACACTCAAAGCCCCGGTGAGGTGCGAAGGCGGCGCAGGTGCAGCGCGTTCCTCAGTGGGTATGGTGTCGATCCCGTTCTTACCAAGGTTCGGACCCTAAAGCAGTATCCCGTCAGAGCAGGAAGCTAGGCTACACGAATAGGAACGCGCACCCATATTCTCGCCTCGCTATATATGGGATCGTTGGCGATCGGGTAGCCGAGGTATTGGAGGTGCACTCGAATTTGATGGGCTGCACGACGCGATGAATGAGCCTTAACGCCCTTTCCTTCGTCGGCAAGCGATCGCTAAACTCACATCGTCCGGTTAGGGGTCGACCTGAACAGCATCAGCATCGTAATAAATCGAAGTGAAGCAGAAGAGCCGCACAATGTAACACGCTTGAATCTGTATTTTCGTCGTAATGTAGCCGCTTGAAGATGGTCTTAGCTTCCTGCATAAATTTCTGTCAGTCAGTACGCTTGAAAGCCGGAAGAAGAATTCTGACCTTTCCTTCCGGATGCACGACGTTCAGTCCCATCTGGCGATCGACGCAGAGTAGTGGTTGCTCACACGTCACTTCCTCCCTGTATGCGTGTAAACACCGTACTTGCACCTGAGGTCGCGTCACTCACTCGGGGAATTGCCCGCGCACTCTCGCTATGTACTCCTTCCTGACCTTCCCCTGGACAAACTCGTCGGTCAGGATCCGCGCGCGGGCAGAGGATAGAGCCAGGATCATGAGGCCTGAGGTGAGCCTGTCCAGACGGTTGACGGCTGAGCGAGAGTCTCGGGTAAGAGGGTACGGACTCGGGCTGGGAAAGACGACGAGACGTACTGTACACTTTCTCGAAACCAAAGTCGTCTTTCATTATCTCGATGAGGGAGTGCTTGAAGTATCGCCCTGTAGGGTGCACGGGCTGAAGAGATTGTCGGTTAGGTAAGAACGCCATTGGTACTGATCGTAGGTCAAAGAACCCTCGAGAGATATAACTACAAGTATAACGAGAGAATGCGGGATACGTACAATGCTCCCGGGCTTGTCTATCACCACAAACTCTCTCTCTTTGTCGTGGTGCAGAATTCGGACAGGTGAAGCCGTGACTGGCGGCTCGTGCCGATGAACGACATTTCTGCCAAAAATTGGTGATAAGCTGCAGGTGGGGAGCCGGGCCGTGGAGGGATAAAACTAATACACGTACTCTATTCGATCACCGTCGCGGATGATCATGTCCGGTTTGGCAACCTTACCATTGATAGTTGTGACTCCAGATTCCAGCGCATATCTCTGCATGTTCATGTGCCAATATAAACGTTCCGTACCTTAGCCGTCACTGAAGCTTAAGGGAAAATGCAGAGTCACAACACGATGGGACGCAAGCAAACGTCCGTCACTTCCTACGTACGCTTGCTCGCCCCCCGCAGGAGGACATTCAAGAACGCCTTACGATGTGCCCTCTATTTTGGGGATGCAAAACGCCAAGGCCCTCGAGATTGCCATCGTCCAGGCTCATGACTCCCCACCCTACCAAAGCCTTGCTGGAACCATGGGGAAAGGGACGTACATAATATTCCATACTACGATCCCTAAACTCCGTACTGACAACCTCGAGGATTTCCCTCCCTAACCACCGCCCTTTGGCCATCGTATGGTAGGGGTACCAGTACGGCGGAATCTTCTTCAGTCTTTTCGCCCCGCTCTCGCTACCCGCGTCCTTCGACGACTCACAAGGCACGCTAGCAGACGTGCCTGTATCATCAGGAGGCGATACTTTTCGGTGCACAGGGGGCGGTGAGGGAATTGAATTGGTAGCCGCAGTTTCAGGCATGAGAGTGTGAGCCAGAAACCTCGCTAAAATATGTCGGAACTGGAGGTCGCCGGCGACAGGAAGAAGCGGATAGTGTTTGGGCGTCAGGGTGGGCCGAACGAAGGATTTATATACGAGACGTGTTGCCGAAATGCGGAGAATGGTGAGTCGCACTTCAGTGGTACTGACGGACCGACAAATTGGAAGACAAAGTCCAAAAAGGCAATCAAGAGATGCGCCAGAGTCCACAACAAGCAATGGACAAGCGAGGTTAGGGTCAACCTTTACCTATACCCATCCGCGGCCAGAACAAGCAGAAAATGCAAGAGATGCAGAGTCTTGCTACCAGGCACAAACAGTCCCTTCTTTGTGAGGACGCCGTCTGATCCTCTTGACATTTTTAATACAGACGCTATCCCGAGCGATGACCAAAATGCACGACTCGCGAACAATCTACAAATTTTGAGGGTTTTCTGGCTCTCTAAATTACCCCTTCCTGAAGGCGTTGTTCCCAGTATCGAAGAGGAAACTCTGAGAGAGAAGCACCGGAACATTACGCTGCTGAATGATCTCGCTACACTGTTGTGTACACGCCCAGTCTAAAAAAGGGTTTCGGCAAGGTCAGACCCCAGACCCCACCAGGCCCTACGTGTGACATCGACTCGATATAAAAACCGAGGATCAACTTGGCCTCTACTTGACTCGTATGTCGAGTCAAGGTCGGAGTCGGGCATCAAGCTGACATCCGGGCTGGACAACGAGAAAGCGGGTTTTCTGGCCAGCGGGCTTTCACATTTCATACAGCTGCTTGATTTTATTGCTCCTTGAATATGAATAAGAAAATGAAGCATATATTGCAATGCTATCTACAGACACTGTGTATATACAGTACATATAATCTTGTAAATACCAAACTACCTGTCGCAGTCACACCTATTAGAGCCCGCCTGCCACAATGAAACAGCACATTCTGCACATGATCATGAGCATAGACCATGATGATATTACAATACACGTACCCGATTCACCCTGACCCCAGACGCACTCCACCGACCAAAGCTCAATATTTGAGTGAATAAGATATCCTTCTGAGTGTTCCTGTATGAATGTGAGTGACGTGTCGGGGAAAGTTCGTCATCACTTACCAGTTAGCAATGAATGTCGGACGTCGCAGCCAGAGCTCTGTCACCCAGGCAGTCCACTGTCTCGTGGTGCGGCGGACGGGCGAGTGAGCGACAAGGAGCGGGAGATCGGAGCGAGAATGAGAGTGAAAGACGGAGTTGAAGAAGTGGAACGACTTGAACCACGGGTGAAGTCGCTCGAGTTCAATCTCCGCTCGAATTCAGTTCGCGTCAGACACGTCCTGTCCTTGAATTTCTCTAAGTCCCACAAACAGATAGTGGGGACTTGTGTAGCACTCCTTACGCCGTAGTACTACATCTGTTCTGGTTACTCTAATCAATCTTATTAATACCTAAAATACTTTGAGGCCTCAAGTCATCCTGTAGTCCAAGGTACAGCCTTTATATGCAGCGCAAGGTATCATCTCTACCTGAGGTTATGAGCTAATGCCCAGTAAAGCCCAAAGAGGATGTCAACTCGGTATCAGGGCGGTCTTGCTCAGATATCCCTCGCTAAGTCT